GCAAACTGCTACCGCGGCTTCTACAAACTGCAGCCCGAGATGACCAGGAGCATTTACGATCAGTTTATATCCCAGCTGCAGGCGTCCATCAAGGTGAGAGGGGCAGCAGGCCCGTGGGGGCAGGGGCTGGGGGACGTGGGCGCCTTCGGAGCGGCTTCAAGCCCTCGGTGTAAAAGCGCCGAACGTGTTGATATTAAGGGCAGCAAGTAACGTTTCTTGAATGGCAAAGCCAGAAAGATGAGACTGCTCCCCAGAGATTCTTCCAGCCCTCTTTGTCTTCTCCAAATGGAGCTGTGGAATCGCTTAGGTGGGGAAAGAGCCTTCAAGTCAGAGCCCAACTGTAAACCTAATGCTGCCAAATCCACCACTGAGCCATGTCTGTAAGCCCCATGGCGATGCATCTTTTAAATACATTTAGGGATGGGGGCTCGATGCCCGGCGATTCCCAGGGCTGTCGATGCCCGGCGATTCCCAGGGCTGTCGCCCTCACCCAGGGAAAAGCGTGGGCTCACAAGCAGAGCAATGCCTCTGTCCGTTCAGTTGAGGTCCTGCTAAATCCTGGTGGTGCCCTTCCTTCACAGGAGGAGATTCAGGAGGTAAAGGATGAAGGGAATCTGGAGATGCTCTTTAACTCACTGGATAAGATCGTGGAGGAGGCAAAGAACCGGGAAGAGCCTGCATGGTATGGATAACCTTGTGGAAGGCAGCCTGGGGAGCGTGCGTGCGTGTGGAGGCACTTGAAGGGCGAAAGCCGGTTCCTGTGCGATGTTTTGGTCAGTTTGATGTGTCCTATAGGCTTGTGCTGCAAGGGAATATTTTTTTAAACCTTGTGTATCTTGACAGCAATGTCACAGCGTCTAAAACAGCCGAAAATCTCCGCTTCTGTAGGGCGTGTATCTGTGCTGCCTGGGTGCCAGGAGGAGGTTAGTGCTGCTGAGACCAGAGGGGGGGGTAAATCAATTCCAAATAATCCCAAAGGCGTGTTTTAGCTGCAGATGCTGTTCTAATAACAGAGCTCACATCCATGCTTCTTGTTGGGGCGCCTTGCTCGGGCACTCGGCAGGCCCTGGCAGTTGTCAGCGCTGCCTTTTGTTTGCCCTAAGGGCGGGCCGGGTCTTTTAATCCCAAGCAGCGTCGCCATGTCGTGGTTTTGTGTTTGGGGAAGTTAATTACACCCTGCCTGCCTCCAGGCCTCAACTAACGGCTGAGTTTTGGGAAGGATTCCTCCCGTTCCTTCATGTATGGCATTGGGGGGCTGCCCGCTGGGGTGCCCGTTAGACGCATGCGTTCTAACTGTCCCCGAGCGTCCCACGCCAGAGGTAAATTGCTGGAATCAGTGAGCAAATCGTTTGGGCAGCAGCTTGGCTTCCAGATGAGGTGTGGTGAGACTGATCGCTGTGCGAAATCGTTGCTCTCTGGATTGCTTCTCATCCCAGGCGTCCCAGCGGGATCCCGGAGGAGGATGTTCGCAGTGCTCTGGTGCCCTACCTCCTTAAGCACCGGTCGTACTTGCGGAAAATCCTAAAGGAGAAAGAGGAAGAGAACAAGAAGGTAGCAGAGTCTGTGCTTGCGGGGAGGGAGAGGATTGCAGAGCTGCAGCAGCTGATACAAGCTCGCAAACATGCCTGGCAGGTAAAAATTAGGAGGGGGAAAAAAAAAAACCAACAAATTAAACCCAGTTCCCTTTGCAGCGTCAGCCTGAAAGGACCTGTGCTGTATTTAAGCTCTCAACTTATTGAAGGCCTCACCTGGAGCCAAGTACAGCTCAGATGGGCCCTGGGAGGCCCCGGGCGTTTTCACTGGAGGTCTTGGCTGTTTCCCTGTGCGCAGGGTGGGATGTTTCTGCGGGTGAGCAGGCTGAGTCCCGGCCCAGCTGGGGATGGCAGCGTACGTGATGCTCTGCTTGCTATCAGCCTGCTTTATGTCCTGAACGCTGACATCCATGGAGAAAAACACTTTGCTGAGTTCAGTGGGGGTTGTTTTCCTTCCAGGCAATCGGCAAAGAGCAACAAGAACTCCTCATGACATTCAAGGAGCCCCAGTGAGGGCGCGGGGAGATTCCCCGTGTTTCGCAGGGGGGGTTTTTCCTCATCTCTGAAGCACTGACAACGCTTTGGGAAATGGAACTTGGTGCGTGGCATATCCAAACCCCGCAGATTCGCCTTCATCTCATTGGGCCAGACAAAACTTGGGACTGAAAAGCTGCCCAGACTTGTGCAATTTAATCAAAGTTTGTGAAGAAATAAAAAAGAACGCTTTGGCATCTTCAGAAATAGATGACAGTGCCCTGTCCCCTGCCCAGCTCAACGGGGAGGAGAATCCTATGGATACGATGGCCTGAGCTGTATGCTCATGCACTTCTTGAGTGCTGCGACAGGCCTGTTCCTGCCTTACAAAAGCCAAATTTGTGGCCTTGGAGGTACTTCAGGTGTGCGGTAGGGGAAAAACTGGTGCCTGATGCACAGAGGCTGTGGCTGCGCACAGAAGCGGGGAGCCAGGGAGCTGCGGCACGCGAAGCCCACGGTCGGGTAGATGCTACCACGGCGTTTTTGTACGGCTCTTTCGCCGCTGTGTTCCTTTTCACTCTCCATGTCTTAACCAATTGACCCGTCGGAACAGTTCCCCATTGATGTTTTTTCTGGTTTTTCCATTATTTTCCATCCCTGCTCCCCTCCTGGCAGACACGCACAGTGTGAAGGATCTGGGGGTGGCGCCGCTCGTGTGTGTGGAGATGAGCAGAGGTCGGAACGGCCCTGCCTGGACTTTGTGGGCTCGCGGCGAAGAGACTGAACGTTTTCCTGTGAAACCTCTGTTGTTGACTCCCGGAACCAAACTGGGTTTGGTTTTACCCATCTGCAGTTGTTCTTTACCGTCTCGTCGGAAGTTTGCCAGCCAGGGAAGTGGGGACTGGCTGGAGTCTGCCTGCCGGGGCGCTAGCCAAGCCCTGCAAGTGAGGAGTATTTTCAAAAAGGAGAGAAGATCCTTCCCCTGGGCTGGGCAGACGCCGAGGAGAGCCCTGCTGAGCCCCACAAGGACCCATTTGGGATCCGTTCCCGGCTCTGCCGAGGGCAGCAGGTTCCCCCTCACCTGTGGTGCCCTGCGGCTGTCGGCATGCACCGTCCCCAGGGCAGGCTCTGCCCCCTGCGGTGGGGAAACACAAATTCTGAGAGCGACGGGGGCTGTTCCCACCGAGCAGAAGCCTCTGTTCTCAATTAGAGGCAGCCGGAGCCTGCGATGGACTGACGGAGGCATATTTTCCTTCTGTCGTAAACAAGCCTTCCCTCGCTGCATTGTAATCTAAATAAATTGGAGCTGTTGTTCCCCCGGTCTTGGCTCCCGCTGTGCGCCCTTGGCCCGTGTACTCTATACTTTATGGGTTTGTTTGACAAAGGCTCTGGCTTCAGCATTTTTATTTTTTTTTTCTCCTCCTCCACCCCAAAGCCTCCGGTTCCGCTTTTCAAGACTGGGCTGGGATTTATAGGATCTGAAAGTGGGGAGAGTGGTCAGGATCCCAAGGAGGAATGTTACCCCAGGTGGCCCAGGGAGCTCCCAGTGCTCCCAGCCCCCCCGGACTTGAATAGGAGCCAAATCTGGAGGTGGGCGAGCACCCTGAGCGCTGCTGGGGGCTTGGGGAGAGAAGGAAGCAAAAGGATGGATGAACAAGAGATTCTGCTTCTTCGGCTGCTCCCTTCCCCGTCCCCCCTGCTCGGTGCCTGAACCCTACCACTGCTGTGCTTTTTCTTGCAAAAATCCTCTTTTGAGGGCTTTCAGAGGTGCTGGGCCCCTTTCTGAGGGGCTGTTATAGAATCATGGAATATTTTGGGTGGGAAGGGACCCCCAGAGGTCACCCAGCCCAACCCCCCTGCAGGAGCAGGGACACCTTGAACCACATCAGGTTGCTCACAGCCCCGGCCAACCTGGCCTGGAATGGTCCCAGGGATGGGGCCTCCACCCCCTCTCGGGGCAACCCCTGCCCCCTTTCCTATGGGCCCCCTTTAGGTATTGGGTCTCCCCACAGCCCGTTGCTGGGAACGGGCGCTACCTGGGGCCCCAGCCCGGCCCTGCGGCGTGTGCCCGTGGGCTGTGGCACCAGGGAGCTGTGTGGAGGCCGAGGGCAAGGGCGCCTGCTCGCCCTGTCCGGCGTCACGGCAGGGGGGGCCCCC